GTAACAAGTAAATCATTCTAAATAAAATGATGGGTTAACATAATTTATTTATGTGTTTATATATAATTAATATGATACTAATCAAGTTAATTTGATGGTATATTAAGAGTCGAAAAATAATATTACAGACAATAGTAAAAAATATAAAGTTATTCGTCAACTAAATGTCAAATACATAGAATTACGTCAAATACATAGAATAAAAATAAATATAGAAAATACGTATAATTCACAATTTTTGCTTTTAACAACGATAATTTTATCTAATACAAATTAATCTAATTTAAAGCATGAATCTCTAATTAACAATTATTTTTCAATGAATAATGGTTACTGTACGTTAAAATTGTATAATATTTTTGAAAGATAATATATATATATATATATATATATATATATACAATAATGATATGTATAAATAAATACAAAAGTAGACATTCTAAAAATATCATAAGCAATTATATATACTTGAAAATGAAGTATTTTACCTCTCATAAAAGAGCAAAATGTAAAAAATGATTATAATAGTCGAAGGAGTTATTTAATTCTAAAATTAATAATTTCGTAAGATTGAATAGTAACAAGGCCGGTACAATTTATATTTGAAATTTCAACTTTTGATATTTATAGGTGAAACCTATAAAATCGTCGTAATCCCTTTGTAATATTATTTATTACCTGAAATTATTACAATTATTTATTATCAATAAATATTTACAATATACGTTAATTAAAAGTTTAACTTTCAATTACTCGAATTAATGGATTGCATAAGAAAGTAGGCAATCTGTTTTATACGAACGTGATCAGCGTAACTTTATGAAATATTTATATACATATATGTAAATTTTATAATAAATAAATGTAATTTATTCGATTAAAGAAAAATTATAATTACGCCAAGAACGTATCAAATAACAAGCGATATATGCAATTGGGAATTCAGTGGAACATCGAAAACAAACTTTACATTTGGCGAAAGTTTTACTATACGCTGAATCAATGGAATGAGTATTTTTAATTAAATATAAATTTTTGACAAAAGCGCTTAATAAATAATGGATCGTTTTCTTTCGTTTGAAATTACCAATTAAATTAATCAATATTACGTTCTGAGCATTTTTATTCTATGTAATGTGCATCGGTCATAAAAATAATGATCGGGAATTGCCTTTCTCTGGTATCCATTTACCACGTTTATTTACTTATTATTGTAATAAATAAAAGCTATTATTTATTAATCAAGTACTTTTTCTACATTTCAAATTAATAATGATGTTAATATTTTTTAATAGCTTAGAGTTTTTGTGGTGAATTTCAATGTGTTATTTAAAAAGTTGTATTAGTAAATATTTGATTAACTCAGCATTATTAACAATTGTTGCAATTAAGTTAATAATATTTCGACATTCAATTTTAAGAACAATCTTTTAGTATTGTATTATTTATGTCGTAATTATGAGAAATATGATGAGATCGGATAATTTGAGAGAAGATATGTGAAACTTTATCATTAAATATTTATTTATTTTAATATAGTATCGAGAGAAAATTATTCAGAAATTCATTTTATATCAGATTATAGTTCTAGATTTCAATTTTTGCACTCAATGTCATTCATGTATATCGTATATCATGTTTATTCTTTTATAACTTTGCGCTCACTTTACGAGATTTACGAGAATTAATCAATCATTAAAAATATTAGATGCATCAGTATTTTATAAATTTATGACTTTATTTATGTAAACTTTGTGTACTTAATTATTTAATAACACGTTCTTAACCCACGTATGGTGGGTTGCTAAGTGTATTTATTTTTTATAATAATTATTAGGTATGAATTCGATACCCTTATTTTTTTTTTTTTTTTTTTTTTTTTTTTTTTTTTTTTATTATTATTTCCATTTTATATTGAAAAGTACTGTTAAATTTGAAGGGATTTAGTTTAAATTTTTGTTAGTTAAGTTAAGTTTTAAATTTTAAATTTTAAACTTAAAATTAAGCCACCGCCCGATAAAATATAATAAATTTATAACCTTTGTTATGTATTTAATAATTTCATTGCAAGTTGATAATATTTATTATGCAGAATGAAATTTTAAATAACTTTTTAGTTTGTTCTATAAGAAGAAGAATATCGTATCTTCGTATATATTTATATAGATGCATTCTTGTATTATGTATAAACGTTCTTTGCTTATTTATTGATTAACCATTAACAAGATAAAGCATTTATATAAAAACAATATACACATAAAATCTATTATTTAAGAATAATTATAAAAATTAATGTTCTCAAACAATTATTTATTAATGACATTCCCTTAAATGTATAAGGTGCATAAATTTTAATAATTTTATTTATAAATAAAATATCAATTTCTCGTAGTATACAATACTGCCTGAATAAATATTATTGTAAATAAATGTATTAAACATTTTAATTTTAAAAGAAGATCGTCGTTCGGGGAAAAAACATCTAAATTCATTTTTCATATAATTCATATTATAACTTGATGTGAACGCCTTTAATATAAACAACTGCATATACCATACGAAGAATATAAATAATAATGCTAATATATTTTAATATAAATAAATTAATTCTAATTTATATGGAATCGTGTATGAATTTCATTGTCGATATCACATTATCACGTATAGAGGCTGGACGGAACCATTTTTCAATTCGAATGTACATGTTCTAAGTCTACGATTCATGTCTAAAAGTCTGTTTTCCCCATGGGCTCGCTTGACTGGGATCTTTCGTAGATAGAAAAAGCACTAATGCCAGCAACGTTCAATAAAGTGTAAATTGAAGAACAAAACCTTGATATAATGCACAACCGATCCCTTGGTAGTGTTTTCAAAGTTAGAAGAAAGTTTCTAAAAGAACACATTCAAAGAAAATGTTCAAAATAGGTTGTCGCTCTTTAAGAAGAAAATACGATACTCCTAACAATGTTTTAAGAAATCAAATTATAAGAGTATAGTAAAATATTAAAAAAGTTCAATTAATAAGTTTGGATTATTTTCTAGACATTAAGTAGAGAACAATTTTTACCTAACTTTAGATATGTTTTGAAAGTTTTTAAACTTTTATATATCTTGTTGAATTAAGTCACAACTTGTTATTAAGAACAAATTTGAACATCAATGCTCATATGTCCGAGGATGATATAATATTTTCTTATAACCGTATACTATAATAATATATAATTTTTATGTAAATTAACAACGAATGTTAATATAAAGGGTTAATGAAGCTCATGCACTCATGACAAATATATTTTTCATTATATTTTATAAATGCAAGTATAAAAGAACAAAGTTCGATAACAAAATTATACTTAAACAATGATTAATTAATAAATTGACTTGTTAACTATTGAGCTAATACAAAACCTTTCAGCATCCTCCCAGTATTTTGAGTTTATCGAGTCGAATAAATAAGTTTTTATATAGTTTAATTAGATTTACTAGTGTCAAGGATATATAAATACAGTAGCTAACAATCTTTATTAGAAATTATAAAGGATAATTTAAAGTTGCTTAATTTTACTTACAAAAACTTCAAGTACTCGAAGGCATTCTCTAAGTTCGATATTCATCAAACTATTATGTATTAATTAAGTAATTAAGCGAGCATTTTGTAATATATTTTAAACACAATTTTGGATTATATAAACTGAAAAGCTTTTATATTTAATGAATATTAATTGAAAAGCGTATAATGTTTTTGGATTCTGTTAAGAAAATATGTTCAATAAAAACATGATCACTTAAATAACAACACAATTAATTCGCGTTAAAATGTCTTCTTCCTTGCAGCTTGACAGTTTTCGTTAAAATTTTGCACAATTACGAGTTTTAATGGATAATCTATGTTAAGAATATCATTAATTTCAATTTAATTAAAATGCACTTATCACGAAAAAATAAAATGAAATTCATATTGAGACATCGTAATAAAGTCATACATTGAAAACTATTTATATAAGTTGTTGTTGTAAAAAAAGTGCGTTTTTTTTTTTTTTAAATTATGAAGTCGCATTAAAGTGTATTTATTATATTGAGCTTTTTTAAAATCTGTAATAGTTATATCTAAGGTATTATTTAAGCGATTTAACTCATCATTTTTATTTTTTTTTTCATGATAAATTGATGAAAATAAATAAATTGATCCTGTCTGGCATTAAACGCATTTTACGATCGTCAACTGTTCGTAAACGTTGATATTCTCGAAATTTATGATTCTAGGTCTACGATTGCGCGATATCATTACAAAATGAATGGATAAAAATTAAAGGTGCAGAAATGTCGAGGTTGCTAAAGCTCGATGCAGCTTGGGAGCTGTCGATGTCTTAAATGAAATCGCCTCAAAATAAATGACAATCAATACGAACGATGGGGTATATAAAAAATGACTAATTGGCTTTTCCATTGTCATTACTGATTTTCAATATCAATAAGCCACTTGACGTACGGTTCGTAACGGCGTCGGCACCACCAAGCGAAACCTCCTCGATGGACGGACGTAGTACGGGACGAGCGAGAGCGAAAGAAAGTGAGCGAAAGAGAGGCGAGTGAGAGACGGGGAGAGGTATGCGCCAAGAAATTCGCGTGGTCGTGAGAAGGCCACGTGACGCAACGTTAATATCCTCGAAGAGGTACAACAGCAATCATAACCGCGCGTCATAATGTTCATAAGCCTTTTCCGCGCGCGCGATCCCCAACGCAAAGTTCACTCGGTCATCCAAGGCAAGAGGCGTCGCGCCGCGCGTTAAATGAAGACGAGGAAAAATAAAAAAGGCGGAGGAAAATGAAAATACGATGTATCGCCCCTGAGGAGCGGGCGACGCTTATTTATAGCGCAATTCCGCGCTCGGCTAACGATTCCGCGAGCGACGAGGCGAACGACTCGGGAATTTCGTCGGCGCGACGGGGCGTTGACGCAACCTGCGAGCCGCGAAAGTGACGCGAGATATCCCTATAAAAGCTGATAAACTCCGAGTCGAGACGCTGTGTAGCGGTGAGCGATCTCACGAGTACCTCCAATTAGCTTACCTGACGAGGAGACGAGGACGAGTCTGTGGATACATTGTAAGCGTCGACGTAGGTAAGGGTGCGAGGGGATTATACGCGGCCGGAGGCAGATTCGGAGACCGGAAGTCGGCAGACCGGTGGGATCTTTGCCCTCGCAAACGTATAACTGCAATTAGTAAATTTGATTAGCTTATGTCGCGATTACTATAGCGCGTCTGGACAGTCTTCGTCACAGTCTTTTTAATGGGTTGGGAAAGGGGAAGAATGAGGAGGAGGAGGAGGAGGAGAGAAATTCGGATTTTTCAGATAGAAAAAATCGTGTTCAACAGGTCGATCGGAGTAAAAGAAATATAATTGTCCGAGAAGTTGCGAGTTTTTGTGAAGTATTTGAGCTTGATCGATGGTTATTGTCATTATGTGGTAGCCGGGGGGTCGTACGGGTGGGTGGTAAGGGCGGGGCGTATGTTTGCTAAAAACGTAGTAGCATAAGTTAAAGCGCTTTTATGAAAGAAGCGAGTTTATGAGGAGTAGTAGCGTATGCTTGACTTTTATTCTTTTATCTTTTATCTTTTGTGACATATATGGTAGCGTCAATGTTTGATCGGGACTTTGATGCCTGATGAGTTTTAAATTATTTTTAAATTATATAAAGACCCTAAGAAGCGACGAAAAATGTCTCCCGCTCTTGGATAAAATATAATCCAAATTTTCTCTTAATATCGAATAGGTAACTTTAAAATTCATTATAAATAAATTTTTTATATAAATTTATATTACAGATCAAACGCATTGTTATATAATAAATATATATATATATAGCTGTCGCATTTCTCTCATAATATTCCAATAGAGTTAAAAATTTATGTAAATATTTTTTTAAAACGCAAGATAGTAGTTGCTGCAAGATAGTTTTGCATTTATATAGGCAGGGACCAAAATTTAAAAAATTTTTCATCAACAAATTTAAAAAATGTGTCTACCACCAATCAAAGCATTTATAATTTATCTTATATCAATCACAATAATAATTATGAAGTTATTTTAATTTTATGATTGTGTATACAAAATTAATTATAAATTTTTGGAATAATATTGGAGCAGTTAGATATAAGAAGTGAACGAGATGGAACTCGACTTCGGATCGATTATCTGAACAAAATTTTGTGCTCCGAGCAAACGCGATCATTGATCGTAGCTGGAACTACAGAGAATAATTTACATCTCGTGTACGGCATAATCCAGTCGAAGCTCTTATTGAATTTGATCTTAATTGTGACTGAACAAAAATTATGTTAAACATTTTTCTTAGTTTTGATGAAATTGTCACTATTTCTCTCCCCAAAACGTTATTGCTAAAAACCTTCTTTTTTTTTCGTAAATATCATTCACACGAGTAAGTTGATGTGTGTATATAAAATCCGTATCATCTGGAGTTTTTCAAAATTCAGATGTAATACATTGATGTAACGTAGGCAGGCATATTCAGTCGCAACTGCATGAAAAAATTTTTTTCACCACTTCTAGACGTCGTATTACGCGAGCCACTTTGAATTTCGAAAAGTGCTCTTCACAATTCGAAAGTTCATATGTATATCTGTCTTTAGAGAGAGAGAGAGAGAGAGAGAGAGAGAGAGAGAGAGAGAGAGAATCTATCGGTTAAGGGATGAACTTACGTGAAATAACTCACAAGACAGAGTACATAATTTATTAAGGACTAGATTTAAAGGACTGGCGGTCGTTCCATCTCATCGAAATTTTTATTCTAAATCGCTTGATATTGTTAATTAGCTTTGACTATTTTTTTCCCCTTAACGTATATGAACTACATATTTGAAAATTACATGAATAACGCTGGAAATTAACTTCTTAATACTTGGTTTGCGTTTTGACTTTGTGAAAACATTTTATTACTCGTTATATTGCACAAATTTATTTAAATATTCTTCTTCCACTTTAGCATATAGTAGCTTAGAATAATATTTTACTTTTAAAAATCTTGGAAATATTACAAAATTTACATGAATGTGGAATTATCTAAAGTGTATTTACATAATTACAAATGAACGCTGTGAACATCTTATTAATTATTAATGCAGCAAAAAATAAAATAAAAATAAATAAATAAAAATATATTATGTGCCACGTGTATTTATGTTTTACGTAATAAATATTTTATAAAAGAACGATCGTCATATAAATAATTAATCGCTGGTAATCAATGTGTTTTGTTTATTGAATTGGTTTAAGCTCGATAAATTAATTAGAAATTGTCGATGTAACGTCAAAGCGTCTCGTCTCGTTTATCTTTCGATTTCCTTTCAATTTCACCAGTATGTTCATTTATTTAGCATTACAAAATCTTGTAATTCAAAGGTAAAGACGATTAATGGTATATAAATGTAACTTAAATCATTAATAGATACATAAAGCTTGTGATGAAGCCTAAGAATACTAATTAATACCAATTCTATAAGCTTCGATATTCAATTCCTATAATAATTAATATTTTTTTACAAATTCACAATCGATCGTAAATTGTTATAATGTAATACGACTTGTAGTGTGAAATCGCGAATGAAAGGAGATGGTTAAAAAGTAGATAGTGTCGTAGGCTATTTATTCTTGTTAATGTGCGTACTTGACATGATACGTTTAAACTTGGCGCATTCGCGTGCATATGGATAGTTGAAAGTTATTTTTACAAAAATTTTGCAATCACAATGGAATTATTTCACAAACTTAATACTTTTCAATACTCATAACGTACATATATCACAAAGTCTATGGTCCTAAGCCAGGAGTCGAATTATACACAATCACAGTATAGAAATATAACGACAAAATTAGAATAAAATTATGTATTCCAATTTCCCTTTCTATTACTCCATTGTGCTCCCATTACAACATCATCACCGCCACCTGCTCAATTAAATTCGTAGTTCCCGATGATGCCAACACTCGATCCCTAAGCACCCCACTATCCTTCGCAAAAGTATGTAAGAGATAAGACATGTATTTGTAAAAAGTAATTATTCCCGAAGAACATTAATAACGAGTGAACCCTTTGTGCCCCGAACGTAGATTGAGAAAAATGTTGGTTCGCTGTTTGCTCGCCATCTACTTGCTGCAGGCCAGCAGCGCCCAGCCTCAGTCCCAGCAGCAGGCCAGTGACATCCTGAGCCAGGTCTCGGACGTCAATCCCGACGGCTCGTTCTACACCAAGTACGAGACCGCGAACGGCATCTCGTACGAGGAGCGGGGTCAGTTGAAAAACCGCGGCAGCCCGGACGAGGCAGAGCAGGTGCAGGGCTCGGCTAGCTGGACGACGAACGAGGGCGAGCCCGTGAAGATCGCCTGGCAGGCGGACGAGAACGGCGCCGTGTTCCAGGGCGATCATCTGCCGACTCCACCACCCAGTCCCGAGATCCCGCCCCTGATCCAGCGCGCCCTCGACTGGATCGCGGCCAATCCGTCGAGCGATACCAGCGGTCAGTACCGAGAAGGCGACGCAGCCACCACCGCCGGGAAGCCCCAAGCCTACCGACCTCCCAACAGGAGATTCTAGCTCGACCGGCTCTTTTCACATATCCGCTCTTATCGATAATGGCTTTTCCTCCTTTTATTCGCCTATAAAGACGGGCTTTATCGCTCGCGGCGCTGCTCGCTCGATGCCCGCGAGGCGCTCCTCCATCTACGCACTTGAATAACAATGCGCGAGGAGGTAAGGCGCTTTTGAAAATTATGGCGCACCGTGCCACCGATCCAGTCGACCTCCTTCAGCCGAATATCGCCTTTTTAAGGAATAGTCGAGAAAATAATAAGAGAAAAAGAGCCTGGTCAAATAATAATAATAATAATAATAATAATAATAATAACAATACGAGAAATATTAAATGTCGGATTTTGTCGAGCGAGCGTATTGATTTGCTTTTCTATTTAAGAAGGCCGAGCTATGTTATTTACGTTCGGGCTTTGGTTATTTGGAAGAGTCGCATCGAGCTTGCCGAGGGCTAACTTAAGTCGCATTAAAGGCTGATTTTTGCAATGACATGGAAATTTTGTGGAAGATCGTAAGAGAAGCCCGAGTCGATGGTCCAATAGCCATTTGTTCCATCTGTATACCAAGCAAAAACCTTCAAATACAATTCATAGTTTAGCGATCAATTATAATTGTCATTGAAATTTTTCATCATGTATAATGAGCATAGACAATAAACGATATCTTTTCATATATTTTTGTTTTTAATTAAACCCGATGATGTAATTTTTTTTAGGCACATAGTAGCACGTTAGAGCACTAATAATCTTTCGACAAATGTAATGGATCGAGAAAATGATCGCGATCCATACCATAATGATATATATATATATATATATACGCAATAAAATTTTCTTCTTTATGAAGTCATTTTGTTCAACTTACTGGCCGCCTATCGCTATATCGTAGTTCATTCTCAGATTCGGAAATACAACGAACGACTATGCCGGTGCAATGGAGTAGTCTAGTAGTAGAGACTAGTCGTACTTGTAATAAGCCGACACTGGTAAACTAAATCATTTGCATATATAAGAAGCGGATGAATATGGATATCTAGGAATTAAAAGGATCACCCGGTAAAATAATTTTTCCTTCTATGGTGAAACAAAAGAGAATATCGTACGACACTTTGATCAATTGCAAATAATATATTAGCAAACGGGTAAATGCATTTTTGTTAATCAAATTGGTCAAGTTTCTGATTAAAATTATTAAGAGTTCTTGTGGAAGAAAAAAAGGAAAGCTGCAGATAATATATGCTGCACGATTATCCCAAGCATAAGATTTGCACAGTTGAAAATGAGTTTGAGCATTTGTAAAATTTTGTAAAATACATAGCTTTTACAGTAAATTAAAAGGACCAATAATAAATTATTTTATCATTAATTTCATTAGTTAGGATAATAATTATAGCTAACGTTCAAGAGATATTAAGGATATCAAGATATATTTACAAATTCTAAAATCATATGCTAATTATCGAAATTTCTTAACTCACTCCTTAAATTATTCAACATACGTTGAAAAATACACCTTAAATTATTCATACATTAAATACAATATACTTGACAATATACTTTATTAGAGTCTTTATTCAAAGCATTTGTCATAATCTTCTTAACTTTAATCAAATTAACGTTCAATTTAATTAAAAGTCAAAACTTTATGAAGTTTTATATTAGAATCTACAGAATTCATGAGTATTGATCCAGAGGCTTATCGCTAATGTAACAATTGATAAAATTTCTGGATAAATGTTACCATTTGTTCTTCTATGATGCTCGAATTATTAAAATATTATCATTTTTAACGAAAATTACAAACATTATAAACTATAAAAATAGGTCATATGTAATGAATTCAAATTACTAAATTAAACCACCAACTGCAACCAAAAGACCTTTAGTTAGATATTGAAAAGACGTTAAAATTTTTAAGCCATCAATATGATAGATAAATTTTTACAACTTTTAACAAATGAATAAATCTAGTAATTATTAATTGTATTATAAAAAATAAAATTTAGCTATAAAAATATGTGAAAGTGTTTGATATAAGAATTACGTTTTAACAAGCGCGATAAAGATCGAAAAATCTTGGTCTTACAATTCCGCATGATTGACTACTTAAATAAAATAGCAATTTAAAGCGCTTAATCAACGCTGCTCCTATTATATTAGAAAAGTAAGGAACAACAAATTGAAAGAGATGGGAACCAAGGTGACAGATAACGATAAAATTAATCTAAATGAAATAGAACTTGAAAGATAATTTTAAGTAGACAAGGAAAATGGGACAACGACTAATTCATAATAATTAGATCGAAATAATTTTTCGAGTTCTTACTAACCTATGCATTTATAAAGAAACTTTACACATAAATCCATTAGGAGCTATCGATAAAGCAAGAATAATTAGATTATATCCAGCACAACGATCGATATTCATAATTTATATATCCTCTAGCAATTAATAATCCATGATCTAGGAAACAATACTGTTTACGCTTTTATTTCGAATTTCATGAATGGGATAAAATGATGTATTTACTATATGTAATTACATATTAATTTCCCAGGCAAATTGTATAAGTTATAATGAAAATGAAGTAGAGCCAAACATAATTACAAGGCTTATTCGGTTCAAGGAAATAAATTCGAACCGTTTGTTATGTTTAACATTCTGAAATATTTAGACTTTTCGACAAAGACCTGATCAAATAATGAGGCATAATTTGCTTACTAAGTGGATAGTCATTTAATATTATAAGATTTTGTAATTAATAACTGCCTCAATGTAATTCTCCCATAAACGTACGCCCTACATTTATTTAATAAAAAAAAAAAAAACCTGCATCGCTACTTATTCTACAGAAACGTTAAATGATGTGAATTATGGAATACTGGCACTACTGAGTTACATGCACGTTTATACGAGTGTGCGTTTGTGTAATTGTAGAATTTAGCAGAATATAGATTTAAGCCCATGAAAATTTCAATACTTATCGAGTAATTAGAATAAATAAGCTGATATAAAAATGTAATTTTAAACCATTAAATGCATATGAGCATTAGAATAATAATTCGAAACGTATAAAAAATACATAAATTAAAATTTAATTGTCTACGACTTAAAAACACTTATTTTTATCTTAACTCTTACTTTTACAATTTCATTGATTTATTAAAAAGTGAAGACTACGCGTTATAATTACAAGATAATTATCTAACTTACAAAGTAAAATTTTTACTAACAATGAAAAGCAAATGAATTCTCTTCTGATTATGCGGGAGCCAAATTGTTCCACTATTCATACGCTCATTATACATAATTACTCATATTTCTATAGCACATCATTAAATATACTAACGGAATCTACAGCATTATCCTGCAAATGTGGATGTCCCAACATATAATGGTAAATTAAACTCATTAATATACCATCGAATGATAATTTGTGCTAAGCATTGTCGGTAACGTAGATTTCCTCGTCGATATAGAGTCGCGATTCAAGGAATGAACTCTAATAATACTTTTATAAAACGTCCTTGCGACAATAATTCCTTTTCGTATGAAATTCAACTGCAATCAGAGCTACATATGGAGTGAATTGCATATCCTTTTTTTAATTTTCAAATTATGTCATTTAATTTTAAGTAAGAAATTAGTAAACTAATTAACAAAAGAAATCATTAATTCTTATTACAATTTGCATTATTGCCTATAAACTAATACCACTTCATTATTCAGTAAATATTTATATATATATATATATATATATATGTGTGTGTGTGTGTGTGTGCGCGCGCGCGCGCGCGCGTATATTAATAATAATTAATAATATTAATAATCATTTTAAATCAAAGGAATTCTTTTACAACATTTTATTCATATTAATTTTTATCAATCACGTAATCTTCATAAACTATAAATAATCGAGATAAATAAGAAAACAATCGTGAAAGTTGTACTCGTCATATTCCTTAGTAATCTAAAAAATTTTTTTGTAATAATTTCCATTTTTATCGCGTATATTAAAGATATTAGCCTAAATCTATGATCCCATTAAATTCTATTAATTATGCTTTTAAGGCTTACGTATTAATAAGAATTTCATTAATAATTAGATGTCAGTACGAATGAACGAAGCTTTAATATAATCAAAAAGTTTAATATTAAAAACACAATTATTTGTTGTATTACATTCACTTAATTATATAATTGTGTAAGCTAATTATGCTTCGAGCAAAGAAACATATAATAAATGTTATATTTCATTAAAATTAAATATTTAAGGAAATATTTTTTGTATAAAACAGGTAAAATATTCATTTATTTGTTATTAAAATCAATCACGTCTATATCCAATATTAATTTCATTTTTTTTTTCATTCGACATTTAATATTAAAAAGTTGTAATATTCAAAGTTTTTCTACTCAAAATAAAATTGTGAATTTTTTATTTAATAAACTTTCTTATATAAATCGAAATAAAAAATTTAATTTATATACATTTGTCTGTATAATACTGTATTTGCGTACTCAGGAATTGTTCTGCTCTACATCTTACTTTACATGCATACAATTCTTATTACACTTTAGAAATAATTGATAAGCAAATTGAGCGTAAATTTCATTTTAATTTTAATTAGAAAAAATTTCGTTTTATATCTTAATGTTAATATTTCACTTCCTTTGTAACGATATTCTCATTTCAAAAGGAGTAAATTTTCTATTTTAGTTTGACAAGAATAAATGTCTCGCGTCATTTATCGAACTTTCTTTTTACTGATAAATGTATTGAAATGTAAAAAAAAAAAGAAAAAAAGCATAACAGCCGCATTCGTTAAATGTATTGAAAACTTTATTAAAGTATGCGTTTCAAAAGCTAGCCAACGTTTAATTAAAATCATTATTAACTTGTATAAAAAAAACTCTTTTATAAACTATTTGTCTGTATGGAGTGAGTAAAGATTCCGATAACATTAAAGATGTCTTGATGTAATCATCCAACAGTCGAATGTAGTCTACGCTGTACTCGGCTTTTACTTTATTTGTATTATATTTAAGATTAGCACGGACGGGTTATAATTAAGGAGACAAGACATTTGATAAGAAAAAAAATACGTACCCATTTAACAGAGTTTTTAGATTAATCGTTTACTTTTGTTTAATATTCCGATTCATTACTTAACTTTCGTTCTCAAGTATAATAATGATAACAATAATAATAATAATAAGCATAATAAATGCTGAAGATTAAGCTCTTTATCGGTATTTAAAATTAATTCTACTATTAAAAGTTAATGAACGGTATATTCAAAGTTCTTGTACTTTTTAAGTCCTTTAATTTCCCTCTACAATGAATAAAAAAAGTCGTGTCCTTTTTCATCATTTTTTGTTTTTTTTTGTTTTTTTTTGTTTTTTTTTTTGGTGCTCTTTATTTTTTAATGACTCATTTGGATTTAAGCTACTGTAACTATAGTTAATTCAGATTCCTGACGTTTTGTATCACCGTGTAAAACAAAAGAGTTACCGGCCCTTGAACACTTTTGGCGCGAGTCTCTGAAGGAACTCATCTCCCGATTCATCCTCTCCTGCTCTCTCAGTTCGCATCTTCCTTCTTATTTTTCGCGCGGCATGCTTCAAAGGTTGTTACTTCACTCGGAGAGAATCCTCTCCTCTCTCTCTCTCTCTCTCTCTCTCTCTCTCTCTCTCTCTCTCTCTCTCTCTCTTTCCTTTGCTCCAATGCATGACTATCTATACGTAGACGGGTGCAAGAGAAGGGAAATGGCTTTTGCGCAAGGGACCGAGCCGAGGAAAACGCAATAATAATAAAAGACTTGTGAGGGAATCCTTTTCGGAATTCGACTTAACGAGACCGTTAACATCCTAAAGAGGTACATAGTTTACGGTTGAGCGCCCCTTTTTAAGAAAAGAGAGAGAGAGAGAGAGAGAGAGAGAGAGAGAGA